AGCTGCTCCTCGTGGAATCTCAATACCATAAATTTTATGTGGCAGAATGAAGCGCGCTCGCATATAAATGAATTTACGGCCGGTATTTACAATTTTAACTACGACATTAATTAAAATGTATTCATGTTCGAGTAAACTTTGTAATCTTACATATAAATAGTCGGTTCTGTGTTTTATTTTCGACTTCTTAAGTAATTTATTGCGCTAAACCCTAAGAGAGATATTTAATGGTGCACTCAAAATTACACGTATGGAAACGTCTGTTCGAGAACGCATTCTGTCACATAGAAATTTTATAAATAGATCTTTGAGGCGATTCCTAAATTTGGAATCTCCAGAATACAAGTTCAATAGACTTCTAGAAATGAAAAAAATAGCGGAAACTCGGTTTTCGGTGTGCTCGAAACTAAAATAAGAAAGATGGTTTGTTTTTCTTCCTGTTGGAGATTTAAATAAGCTTGGTTGGAAATTCTATGTTTCAATAAATTAATCCTCGAAATGCACAATTAGGTGCAAGTGGAAATTTGCCTTAGGTACAACTTCCATTTAACTAACCAACTAGATCAGTACCAAATATTGCTATCGTTTATAAATTTTGATAAAATAAACTTTTATAAAGACCCATATATTTTATGGATGTTCGTTAAGACCTCTATCCGAAAGTTTCACCAAAATCATCTAAAATCTAACAATTACGAAAAAAAACTACTTGGCCAATCTTCATCCAAAATTCAAAACGGTTACAACTGATGGGTTTTAAATTAGTAAAATGTATCCAGGACTTTTTGCGCAAAAATATAAATATTTTACACTTTTTTATTAGTTATAGAGAAATGGGTGGACCCGATCGTTTCTTAAACCTTGTGAAATTCAACAAAAGAAAATAAGCAAATCAGATTTTCTGGCAAAAGCAAATTTTAAATGAAAAATTAAAAAACAAATCTTGTTAATATTACTCAAAGTATTTTAATTTAATTAAAACAATCACTTCGGTGCTCAGAATTTAATTAAAACGAAAAAGGTGAAATATTTGTTTTTTTTTTAATAATTAAAGCTTAGTCATTTCTATTTGCTAGCAGATACATATTCAGTAATTTCAATTTACTAATTTTGAATTATTAATTGCACTTAATAACATGACCTATGGCAAAATAATTATATTTTATCGCAAAAGATTGTTCACCGCTAAAATTAGAAATTTTTGACACACATTCTTTAAAGACTTGATTCATGTACACGTTTTTTTGGATATATTAAATTCAATTAGATAAATGAAATAAAGAATATACGTATATTTAACTCTTAAGAAAGGGCAACCCAATGAACAACCACATTATATGAGTAGATTATGCTAGATGTTGCAGCAATGCCCACGAGAAACTATTTTGGCTCGAGATAATTGATATCTATTACAAAATGCAAATCTGTTGTACTGCTTGATATCGAGCTGACAGAATTTAGGATTGAACAATGGCAAAGTTTGTTAAGACTTGATTCAAGTACACATTTTTTCCATATATGTTCAATAAGATAAATGAAATAGGTAAAATTATTTATACGTATTTTGAGCTCAAAAAAGGGCAACCCAATGGACAACATATAATGTTGGCGTATGTATGTTGCAGCAATGCCCACAAAATACGATTTTCGCTTGAGATAAGATAACTCAAAGTGCAAATCTGTTATACTGCTTGATACCGAGCTGGACGAGGTCAAGATCGAACATTCATAGCAACAACGTTACAAAATGTATATATTACGATTCAGTTACATAAAAACTTTACTTTATTACCATACTGCAATTAAATAAACTTATTAATTAATACATATGCAGACGTCTACAATAATAAAAAACCAGCAGTAAGCCTGCATTATATTTTTTTCATCTTATTTTATGTTCTAAATTACCATCTGTAATAAAGAGTATCACAATGACTGTATACAACAGAGAAAATTATTCCACATAAACCCATTATGATGGTACATATTATAATAATAGGCTTTTTATGAATAATTATGGGTCGAACCTAACAGGAACTTATAACTTTCATTTGTATTATGAAGAAATATTAGTCGGATAATGTAGATGTTAAATTAGTTGTATTTATCATGTTTGCTACGAGTAATCATAACAATTGCTTCTGGAAATCGTAATTTTATTATGAAGGGTAATTTGAAACAGGCTTAGTATATTTTTGAATTGTAACATTCATAAAAACAATATTGTGAAAACAATAAAAACGAAATTGTACTAAAGTTTGTTGGTAAAAAAAGTATGTCCATTAACTATGTTAATACCATTCAAAGCCAAATAATTGTAAGAGAGCATAAGAAAATTTATTCTAATATGGTCAACTTGTGTTGCCACATCACTCCTGGTTTTGAATTTTTAATTTTTCATCACTTAAAAAAATATTAAGGGAGTGATGTGGCAACACAAGTTGTCATGTCGGAATAATCTATAATATTTATTGTAATTTTTATGGAACTAATCATTTGAAGCATTATTATAAACATTACATAAATATTCTATGCAAATAATTAAAGTGTGAAGATTTATGCATCACATTTTGAATTGAACTTGAAATAGTTAAAAGAAAGCAATGTCATAAGTATAGATATGGTTCTAAAATCATCATAATTCATTTACAAGTTAATGTCTCGTTACAAACCAGCATATAAAATTATCAGAACTATTCCCGTTCGAGATAACCATAATAAATCTTACTTAACCATGTGTTTCATCTTCCCCTGACAGAAAACATAGTTTTTTACAAATGTCAAAACATTGACTTAATTATTTTTTTTTTAATTTTGAATTATTTTTGTAAGTGTAAGTAAAGAAAGTTCTGCGCGCAGCTGTTCAATTCAAAAATAAAACCCGTATGAAATTTTGGACAAGTGTAAATTTAAAAATAATTTATATAATAATGAAATAAAAATTTATACTAAAATAATGTAAATAAAGTAATACTTTATACTTGTTTATCTATGAGTAATACTATTGTGGTGGCAATGACCTAAACAAAAATTTTATTAACGAAACACAACAAATTTAAGAAAAATGGTTGGAATGAATATTGGATTGCATTTATTCAATATACAATATGATTACCAATCATATTACGAATGAAAATTTTATTCAATGTATTGATTTAAGTAATTCGATATTCAAATAAAAAATTAATTATAAATTCTATGATTAACCACAATTTGCAAAAAACATAAAAAGACTAATAAATTCATTTATAAATGGCATGCGAAGGTACCCACAAAGTTTGTTTTATTTAGAACAAATAAAATACAATTTACAAAAAAAAATTAAAATACTGTTCAATCGATCTTTAACTTGATTTATACAGTACTAGTTGTATTTTTTTTTTAATTAAGGCAAAAATATTGATGGATTTGTGTCGATAGTCATCCGGCAGGTGTTATTGTTCTCTCAAGCATTAAGATGAGTTCTAATTAAATGATTCAGTGATTTGCTTCAATTTTAAATCATTTTCAAAATGAGAGAAAAAAAAGTAAATATGGGATGAATTTGTATAAACAAGCAATTAACAAAATTTTAAGAATCAGATGAATCGCATTTAAAAATTTTAGTACAGCCTTAACAGGTATGCAAGAGGTAACCGAGATGAATAATAGAACTCAGGAATTTTGTATAAAAAACTATACAAAACTTTGTATAATTTATAACACTTAATTTGTTGAATAATATAATAAGTATAATTAATGAAATAAAAAAATCAGCAAACGTTACATCATCAGTATCAAAATGTAAATGTAGTAACAAGGAGAACCTGAAGTCTATTCTTCTGCGATTTTGTTTTGCATGGTGATCAACCATCATAGTTTAAAATAGTATAGGCCTAGGCGAAGTGGATTAACTATAAAATTTAACTTTATAATTAAAATTTACGTACGCCTACAGTATTAACATATCTCGATAACTCACAATAAGCCTGGCATACTTAGCTGGACTAAAATCATAAATTATAACTTAGAATTCCAAAGATTAATAAATATAGCAAAATAGTTATATCGTTATGAAAATAAGAGCAATTAAATTCGAACGGCTAAAAAAACTTAATAGGTATAATTAAAAAATAATGTTATAAGTAGGTATTATTTGCAGTCAAATTATCAACAGTCGACAATGAATCACTAATTTTACTTCATGTTTCTCCAAATGATGTGCTTCTATTATCAAAGCATATGTAACTTTTTCAACCTTTACCTACTATAAATTAAAACCACAGCTTCCCAAGACACGTTTTATGATGTTTTTTTACGGAGAAATTTACGTTGCAGTGTTTTATTTTCCATGATTTATCCTCTGTGAGGTTTCTAGCTCATAAAATATTACCACAAGAAAACGTTATTTATTACCTTATTGAGTGTAAATGAAATAAACCACAAATCAGAGGTAAATTTGTGAATAATCAAATATAGTCAATAAATGGAATTAGGATCCTCGTGGCCTATTGGCTAAGGAAACAGATATGAGGTTCACCTTGGACAACCTGATGTCAACATCAGTGACATCAGTTTTTACTTGAAAATATAAATAGTAATATGTTTTAAAATGAAAATAGCATTTACCTAACATTGCTGCATCATCAGTGTCAAAGAAATTGTAGTAATAAATTCATCAGGATTAGGACAATCATTTGGGTTACTATTTATAAAAGACAGTCGTCCAAGACGTCAACACAACAAGCTAGTAGAATGTATGAAGTTCTGATTGCAGTTAAAAATAAATAATTAAAATTACTGACCAAGTATTTCTAAAGATATAAAAATATCTTGCTTATTTCAGATCAAAATACCTATTAATAATCACATCCAAAGAGATTAAGCGATTACTGCGTTATCAACGCAAATACTTTATCATTCCACGCATATGTCTGATTATAATTTCATTTACTTATTTATAATGACTGACGAACAAAAATGATTGATAGTTATGTATTATTTTTTATTTATTTTTGCAGTTCTGGGAAATTATCTCCGAAGAACATGGTATCGACCCAAGTGGCATTTATCACGGCGAGAGCGACCTTCAACTCGAACGCGTTAGCGTCTACTACAACGAGGCTTCTGGTGAGAAAAATATTCATTAATTCGATTTTTAATAATAAAAATTATTTGTAAATGATGAAAATTTAATGGATTTGTTGTGAAATGTGTTGAAAATGTTGTGGCTAAATTTGGCAACGTTGTATATGTAATGTATACACGAAATGCAACAAAAGTATCTTGGTGCATCAACTTGCTCCAGGAGGGCTTGATAAAATTAGAAAATAATCGATTGTAATGCTAAGCAAAATATAATAGAAAGAACGTATAAATAAATAATGAGTTGTACAGATAGTAATTGTTTCAGCAATGTTTTGTAAGTTACTTTTCTAATTCTAATTTACCAATTGAATTGGCATTCGATTTAGACCTGAGTACCTACTATCAAAATTTTGTAGATGTCCATAATGGAAAGAAAAGGAGCAAATATTAAAAAGAACTTTCCTAATTGGCTTAAATATAAAAATGCATTATTACTATTGGTAGATTTAAAAAATCATTATACCACTAAAAAAAACAATTTTCAAGTTTGTGAAGAGATCCTAGAAACAACTAGATAGTTTAAGTAAATTTAGTTTAAGCGATCTAAAATATTGATTTTCATAAAACAATGTATTATTATTTGGTGTGCTTGAAGTCGAATTCAAAATATTAGTATACACCTAACTAAAATGTTTTCGCATTTTTAACTACTCTGGCGAACTTGTTATCAAGCAGTAATAACAGTAATAATGCAATTAGAGATTAAAATTTTTAAATATGATCAAAAAGTAAAAATAGCATTTCGGGGGCATTGCTAAAATTTTCACATCAGTATTAGAAATATATTTGACGAACAATCAGAAAGAGAATTTGTTGGGTGTCAACCATTGAGTTGCCATCTTAAACTAACTCGAGAAATTATCACAATAACGTATAGAAAAGATATATCTCAAAATAAAGTTTTCTGGATTCGACAACTATTTTGGCTAGCTTGTTATCAAGTACTAATAACAGACTAATTAGAGATTAAAAAATTCAAATACGATCAAGTAAAAATAGCCTTTCGGAGGCATTGCTATAAATATTCACATCAGTATTAAAAATAATTTAATGAACTATCAGAAAGAATGGTCAACTATTGGGTTGCCTTATTAAACTAACTTAAATTATCACAACAACTTATATGAAACAGATAGTTTTCATTAAAATAAAATTTTCTGGATTCGACAACTGTTTTGGCTAGTTTGTTATCAAGCAGTTATAACAGACTTTGATATAAATCGCAAACATGATCTAGTGTGAAAATAGCCTTTCGAGGGCATTGCTTTATATATATATATATATATATATATATATATATATATATATATATATACATCAGTATTAAAAATATTTTTAATGAATTATCAGAAAGAGAATGGTCAACCATTGGGTTGTAGTCTTGTACTAACTTAAGTTCTATACAACGTACAGAACATATAGTTCTCATTAAAAAAAATATTAGTTGTGAAAAAATATTAAATTCATGAAATTGTCATTTATAAATAAATAAAATAAATATATAAAATAACCAAATTGTTTAAAAATCCATGGATAGATATCTTTGAAATCATAAATAAAAATAAAAATTACTCTCTGAAGAAAAATTATTACCACCTCGTATAAGTCAAGATTATACGCTGACTAATTTTCACATCGTAAATCAAGAATCAGAAGCTGGTAAAATAAAAAACAAACATCTATATTTTACTGTGTAAAAAGTCCTATGGGCGTATATAGTTAGGCTATACATGCCTCATTGAAAACCTGCTAATAGATAATATACAAAATGAGTACCTTCAGAATAAAAGCAAATATTAATTGTAATTAGAATCTGTATAGTAAAGGTGTGCATATAATTGACAACTAGGATGTGCTATCAATTGGAAACATGGATTCCTATTTCACCGTTATTTAAAAAGCTATGATAGATTGATAAATTATATATATAGGAACAAGTTGATGTATCATGGGGTCCCGTATGGAACTAATTGCATTTATACGGGCTTTTGCATATATAATAAATTTGTATCGATAAATAGATGATTAGGGTTGAGATAGATTTAATATAAACATTTGGATAATTGATTCTTAATCTACAAAATATACTCGTAATCGTAACACAAACCGAAGTTCCTCGAGTAAAGGGCCTGAGCCAAATTTTAGAATCGTCTAAAATTTTAGAATTTATTTTAATAGAACAAAAATAACTGAAATTTATGGTAACAACTGCTTACTAATTTCGAATAAAATAAGTAATCAAAATTCTAATACTCCGTGAATGTAGTAATTCTTACATAATTTTGAAGGTATAAGTTCTGAAGAGCCTTAAATTTGAATTTAAAGTCTTGTGAAAATATATAAAAACTGTTAGTGTTAATGATTTTTCAATGACTTGAGACTTGAAATGAACACAATTTGAAAACTTTCTAAAATTTCGTTTTTAAAAAGCATATACTACTAGGTATAAAGTTTATTCAAAACTGCAATGAAAATTTCAAGTTTTTTGGTTCTATTACATTTTGTAATAAAAAATGCAAGTATTTGTTCTACTATATATTTTGTAATCAAATATTTCTATATCTTCGAGAGAAAACGAATATATTTTAATTAGTTTAAGAATAGTTTAATATTTAAATATTTCTAGATCTTCCAAAACAAATTCAAAAAAATGCTATTTTTTATTTAGCTAAAATATGGGAGCATTTACTTTTTAATCTATTTGGTTGAAACTAATAAAACCAAGAAAGTCGATTGTCCAATTTGTCTAAGAATAGTTTGATATTCAAATATTTCTAGATCTCCCGAAAAAAATAAGTATTTTTTAATTAGCTAGATAATAATAGCATTAATTTTTGCATCTATTTTGAAAAAACTAATATAACCGAGAAAGTCGTTTGTCCAATTTGTCTAATAGTTTAAAATATTTAAATATTTCTAGATCATCTAAACAAAACATAGTATTTTTTGATTAGCTAGAAAATAGCATTATTTTTTCAATCTATATGGAGAAATACTAATAAAACTGAGAAAGTCAATTGTCCAATTGGTCTAAGAATAGTTGGATATTCAAATATTTCTAGATCTCCCGAAAAAAATTAAGTATTTTTTAATAAGCTAGATAATGATAGCATTAATTTTTTAATCTATTTTGAGAAAGATAAAACCAAAAAATTCAATTGTAAAAATGGTTTCTAAAATTTTTACTGGAATTGTTCGCAAATCATTACCTTCTTTGTTTAATGAAGAGGGTAGGATGTTAGCTAAGACGCAATGTAATTATTAAAAAGGTAAAAATATTAAAAAGGTAAAAGTATTAAAAAAATATGTAAAAAAATTCATTTAATACTTATATAAAATTTTAGTAAAAATACATATACTTATTGATAGAACAACCAATCATTGGAACCCTCGACATGAAATTCAAGGTATTACATAATATATATTATGGTATAAGACAATTATTTTACAAAATTCTCAGTTTCGATGTGAAAATAAGTCTGCATATGACGACTTGTATAACGTAAAAACGAATCGAAAAAAATCACAATTTTTATGATATCAATTAGTTCGACTATAAAAAAAATCTGTAAGCCAATTAGCAAGTACTTAGATGATTCTCTTATTCCATAAATTGTTGACATTTATTCAGACACAGATATATAAATATGCAGAAATATGCAATATTCTGAGAGGAATCGTAAAATTGAAATTCTGAAGTCCGTGGAAGAGTTGAGCCTGTGCCTTTTTATGAGTAATATATTACTGCGTGCAATCGTGCAATGGAATGCAGGGATATTTCTTTGATGTTTGGTTTATTTCTGTATTCTATGTACATCCAGATATATATTCGCCAATTCTATGTACATTCCAAATATAAAGGCATATATATATATATATATATATATATATATATATATATATACAGTAGAACTCCAATTATCCGAATTAATGGGGACCGGGACCCATTCGGATAATCAAATATTCGGATAATCGGAGTTTGTTTTTAAAATTGCCATTGGAGAGAAAAAAAAGTTACGTATTGATATTGCACTATTTTTTTTATTGTATTAAATGAAAGAAACATGACATTTTCACATGTTTTAAATATAAATAAAATGTACTTATGTACAAGTTTAGATATAAAAATCATTGTTTTGTAAACATCTCCGTCAAATCAAAACAAACAATGTGCCTACACTGGCTTTGCTGGTGGAAGAATAATAGCACACTTAGACTTTTTTGGACAATTTTTCTGAAAGTGATTCGGATAATCGGCGATTCGAATAGTCGGAGTTCGGATAATTGGAGTTCGGATAATTGGAGTCCTACTGTATATATATATATATATATATATATATATATATATATATATATATATATGCCTTTATATTTGGAATTATTTGAAGACCACTTGCATTCGACTACACTCGCTCCACTCACCAGAAAACCAAAAGATTTGTTTACTAATATTTGCTTCGTTTATCAGAATGGTTATGACATTATGTACATTAGAGTGGTCCTTAATATGGACATTTTCGAATTTCCTTGCTCCCAAGGGCTCAAATGGTTCCAAATTGATAAAAAACAATTTTCTGAAAGTTTTAACTCTTAATATTAACTTCTAGATAGTGCGCAATTCAATCAAACTTCGTATGGAAATAGCATGGAAAATATTTTGAAAATTAAAAAAAAAATATTTTAGGTATAACTTAGCGACAAATGAATTAAAAGTGGAAATTCGTGTCATTTTTTATTGAAAATTAGACGCTCTGCAAAATTTTTAACTTCCCGTAGGGCAAGTTATAGTAATCGCAAAAAAATCGAAAATGAAAATTTTTATATATCTTTACGTTTCAAAGGTTTCTGAACATTTTGGCATACCTTAGAAAAAATGGATGTATGTGTGTGTGTGTGTGTGTGTGTGTGTGTGTGTGTCGACGATTTCGGGAACACGGATCAACCGATTTGAATAATTCAAAAACATTCGATTCGGAGACGTGCTGATTAGTTTTTGGCGAAG